AGAGAGCGACGGTTCCTCCGTCTTGAGACAGTTTGTAAATCCAAAACACCTTGAGTGGATGAAAGGCCAAGAGGGGTGACTCTGCTATAATGCCAAAAGTTTTACTGTTAATCCTTCACCCAGACTTCCCCAAAGGAACCTCTGCCCCTCTGCAGGGTTACTGTGCATTGCAAAAAATAAACTAATCAGACTTTTCAGAGACTATGAACACGGGCTCCGAGTTGACAGGAATTTCAGGAGACCCAAAACGTCCCTGTTGTCCAGCATTCAGAGTAGAAGCTTATGGAAATCAGGCAATCGAAGCCTGATCTCAGGGTCGGCCCAGTGGATCCCTAAGTTTATCCTGTGGTTATTTCGCAGGTCTGGACTGCGTAGTTGGGAAGACATTCCCACAGCCAGCAGCATCCCTGTGTTGATTCCATGGCCTATTAATAAGTACTATTATGGTGAGAAAGCCACGTGGAAGCCACTAGAACTGTCTCTAGTGGAAAACCATAAGTTATGGCACATTTCAAGAGGGACTACAGAGATGAACGCCACCACCAAGGACTTGAGGGGTGCAGGGTGGTGATGGCCAACCCCTCCCCACTCCAGATTTCCTATTAAGTCTGTGCAGAAAACAGATGGATCCTGAATAATGACTATGGGATCTCGTAACTACCCAGATGGTGACTCTGTGCTCCTGCACCACATGTAGCCTCATTGCTTGGACAAATTAACACGTCCCCCGCAATCAAGGCTGAAAAATGCTCTCCTCCAACCTGTTGGTAAAATACACCAGAAGCAGTTTTCTTTCAGCTGGCTGGGCCAGCAATACCCTCTCCTGTCCTACAGAGGTGTATCAACTCTCCAGCTTTGTGTCATGGTTCAGTTCCCAGGGACTTGACTGCCTTCCCCTTCCACACAAGAGACCATGCTCACACAAGCCCATGACATTGATGACTGGACCTCGTGAACAAGAAGCCGCAACCACTGTAGAGTTATTGGGAAGATGTTAGTACAACAGAGGGTGGGAAGTACATCAGACAAATTCAGAGGCCTTTGACCTCGGTGAAATTTCTAGGGTCTCGGCCTGTGGAGCACGATGAGATGTCCCTTCCAACTTGTAACTTGTTGTATCTGACCCCTCCAACAGCCATGAATAAGGCATGATGCCCATGACCTCCTTTGACTTTTGGAGGCAAAACAGTCCTCATTTAGATGTGGGACTCCAGTTCATTTATTGAGTGACCCAAAAAGCTGCTCGTTTTGAGTGAGACCCAGAATGACAGAAGGCTCTGCATCAGGTCCAGGCTGCTGTGAGGCCTGCTCCGCCACTCAGTCCATGTGACCCTGCAGCTCTGAGGACAGATAGGATTGCTCTTTGGAGCTTTGGCCGGTTCTTGTAGGTGATCTGCAGTGCAGGACCTTAGGGGTTGGGGACCAAGCCCCACCATCCTCTTTGGATAATTGCTCCTTTTGAGAAACAGCTCAAGACCTATTAGAGGGGCTTAGGAGAGTTACTTAACCTTGGGCTACCCACTTAACAGGTGACCTGAACATGACGCACTGTGACACTCAGCCATCAGGCGGGTGTCACCTGACCCACTATGCCACAAAGTAGATTATTTCAAGCAGCGTTCCATCATGCAGCAGGACTGCTATACACATGGCTGGGCCCAGGCAGTCCCAGGCATGCAAGTTACACAAAGAAGCTGTCCAAGGGTGTATGGTTCACTTAAATACTAAAAAAAAGAGATTATGCTACATAATGTAGATGGGCCTCGTCTAATCAGTTGAAGGCCTTAAAAGAAAAGATTGAAGTCCCCCAAGTGTGAAGGAGTTCTGCCTCTAGGCAGGGTTCAGACTCAAATTGCCACATCAGGTTGGTCTGCCACCAATCTGCAGAATTCAAACATGCCAGCTTTCACAGTCAGCAAATTCTTTAAAATAAATCTCTTTCTTTCTGTGTCTGTGTCTGTCTCTATCTCTCTTTTTCTCTCTCAGTAAACACACACACACATTCTAGAACCCTACTACAGAAAGTACTTAACATTTGTAATTAAGAAAATAATGAATAAAGAATGGAAGATGGGCATCATACTTACTCAGAAATTATTGGCATGTTCCTTGGTTATTGATTATAAAGATTCTAACAAAAGTCTCTAGTAAACTCTCAACAAGCACCTTCAAAGAAAGTACAGAAAAGGATTAGGCTATATACCAAAACCCAGAAAAAACAAAAAGCAGAATGAAAATCCAGTAGCTGCATGAAGTGGTAGGCAAAGTGATCATAAGAATAAAATTAATCAAATAAGAAACATACACAACTGCAACTAAGAAGGGACATATAACCAGATATCAACAAAACATGAGCATGGGATTTGCTTCTCCTGGAGGCAATGGAGCCAGAATGCTGGGTTTCCCCAAACTCTGAGCAGGCCAGTCTGGGTTTGATCCTCTGGCAGAGACCTTCCCGCTGAAGAGCTCAGCCCTGGTTTTCTTTCCTTCAGGGAATTGCTGAGAGACCATCTGTCACACACTCAGCATAAGCCTGAGCATAAAGAAGAGCCTGGTTAGGAAGCTCGGAAGCCAGGCGACTCACACTGGAATTCACACTGGGTCCAGGGCGCATGGCTCTGGGGTCAGCTGTTCCCAGGACGGATTGGGAGATCTGACTAGCTCCCTGATCAGCGTAAGAAGTGGGTCAGATTGAGCAGGGTGGAGATGCGTAACAAAAAAATAAACGTGGACACCCGGGGCTGGCTGATACTCAACCTGGATGGCTCAGTGGGTTAAGGGCCTGACTCCTGATTTCAGCTCAGGTCAGGATCTCAGGGTTAGCTTGGCTGACCAGCACTTGGCAGGGAGTCAGCAGGAGATTCTCTCTCTCTCTCTCTCTGCTCCTCCCCCCTGTTGTGCTTTCTATCACTCTCTCTCAAATAAATATATAAATCTTTTTTTAAAAAGAATGATAAAGGCTGCAGAGTTAAACAAAGTGAAAGGCCAGTGAGTCATCATGGCATCTCAGATTTCGAAATGATAATGAAGAAAGTGGAGAACAACCCATCCTCCAAAACATGAAAAACTCTGAGGGAAAAAAAATCTGTCGCCTTTGAAAAATGTTCCCTTGGAAAGTATTTCCAAAGGACATCTTCTCTTACTCACTCATTGGGTTTCTTCTGAATATTTATGGCACAGGTATGGAATGAATGCCATTACATAGAGCATGAACATGAAAACTGGCAGGAGCAATGAACCTGACATCAGAGAATGTGTTGCTAAGGCAATGTCTGGTGCTTCAGGATTTCTGGGCAGCATGGCTGGATGTCAATTTGGCTGTGACCGTGATGGTGTCTATGGGGTGCTGTCTACTTATGGACATGGCTCAGGGGCCAAGCCATGGACTATGGCTTACCTTCCCGGGTCTGTTTAGGGAGAGGGCCAGAGCTCAGAATTGTTAAGTAAATTGTACATTTTTATTAAAGCAATGATCTTTGAAGAGTTTAAATGCTATTTTCCATTTCTGATATTATGTACCACCTGATGGGACAGTCAGCACTTAGCATCGTGAGAAAGCTGGGGGTGACCCATGGTAGACATCCCAACCTTTCTAAGAAACGCGGTATCATCCACATCTTTAGAGTTGTCTGTACATCCCTCCCCCATCCATCAGTCCTGTTTGCTATTCTCTGTGTTTTCTTTATATTTTTACCAAAGTAAATGCATCGCTAAATCATATTTGATTTTGCATAGTTTTGAAACTAGAACAAGTGCAATAGTCCTGCACAGTTTTTCTGCAAGTTGCTTTTATCTCTTCCCCAGTAGCATGTCTACGTAATTTACCCTTATGATGTTTCGCTGTAGTTCATTGTAACTTGAGCATGATACTGCAGAGCACATACCTTCCACTCGACGGGACTGGGTGGTCCCTGTTTTTTATTACTACAAAATGGCGGGTTTTCTCTAGCTCTAGCAGCAGAATCCCTCTTTCAAAAGGCCTGCTCTCTTCAGCCTGGACCAGGTCATGATGAAGCATTTTCCAAAGCGATGGCTCTAACTCACAGCCCCACCACAGTCAGAGTCCATGGGCGCAGGCATGACATCATCACACAGGCAGCTTCCCATGATGTCAGCAAAACACTCCATACCCAAGGCATTCTCAGAACTGAAACTACTTTTTAGACACCGACATGAAGGTTGAGAAACTTGGGCTCTTGGGTAGCAGTTCGCTGCAAGCCTGGGAGAAATGTGGACTCATTTGGAAGTTCTTATCTACTTAAAGGAGTGTTCTCAGAAAGAAAGGAGAAATGGGGAGGAAGACCAAATATTTGTAGAAATAATGGCTGAAATCTGACCATATTTGATGGAAACCCTTAATTATAGCGTCAATATTTACTTGCAGTCAAATATAAACAAGCAGATCTGCTCTTAGATACATCACAGTCACACCATGGAAAAACAAAGGAGAAATTTTGAAATTGCAAGACAAAAACGTCCCTTCATATACAGAGGACCGCATTAGATTAACCACTGACTTCCAACCAGAACCAGGGGGGAAAGGCCCTGAAATGACACTAGTCAAAAAGCTGAAAGAGAAAAACTTGTCCAGGTGCCTGAGTGGCTCATTCTGTTGGGCATCTGAATCTTCATTTCAGTTCAGGTCATGATCTCAGGATCCTGGGATCAAGCCCCATGTCAGGTGCAGTGCTCAGTGGGGGGTCTCCATCCTGCTCCCTCTGCTCCTCCCCCTGCTCGTGCACACACACACTCTCTCTCTCTCTCTCTCTCTCAAATAAATAAATAAATAAAACTTTAAACAAATTGTCAACCCAGAATTTCATAACTAACAAATCTGTCTTTCAAAACTGAAGGCAAAATAAAGATATTCCCAGATACACAAACTTACAAGGACTACTAAAGGAAATCTTTGAACCCAAAACAAAACAAAACAAAACAAAAAACGAAAACTTGATTCCAGGATTTGAACATGCTGGCTTTGTTAAGGAGTGAGCGTGAGCATGTGCAGGTGTGCCTACACAGAATGTTGTGAAACTCTTTCAGCAGTTTACTCTCTGCTCATCTCAGAAGGAAAAACACTAGAAATGACTGAGAAACGTATCTGGGAGGTTTAACTATTTCACTTTGTTTTGTACTTCCTTAGCTTTGTAAATTTGGAATAATCATTAATTTTATAAGTCCCTCTAGCTGAAGTTAGTGAAGGTTATTTGAAGTAAAACATCTTAATATGTTTTCAAAATGCACATGGCTAAAGAAGCACTAAAGAAATTTGAGTTTTATTTGTACGAGGGTGATGCAAGGCAAGAACATATTATGTGGGGAGATTGGAGCTGCAGACAGAGGACAAAAGTTCCTGGGAATTAACCAAAATTCCAAGGACAAGTCCAAATTTTTAAAAGCTATGAAACTGATGGAGCCCAACTGGAGATCCCAAGGGGAACAGGTATTCTCTGAGTTCCATGCAAGATGAAAGGCAAATTGACAAAGGTCTGTCTCTAGCACTGTGAGCAGGTAGGAGTGTCAGGCCTGGGAGGGTGGAGAGATGACGGAGCTACAGGGCTGGCGCTGGAGAGGGGATGTGGTCCAGCTACCTGTGTCCCTTACCTGCCCCCAAGGGTCCTTTGTGACCAGACCACAGCTCTGTGATGTGGGTGTGGGGCTTGTGTCTGCACCTCCACACCCAGGGCTCAGTTGCCTGAGGGCAGCAGTGAGACTGGACACCATGCTTTTCGGAGGAAGGAGATGGAGAATTATCTCTTCCCTCAGGAATTCTTTACTGATGGTTGGCTGAGCTCCAGTCCCACTGTCTGGGCAGTTAATTCCATCCTTGCCTTCATATGGGGACTGGGGCTCTTCTTCCTCTTACTTTCCTATTTCCATCCTGAGCCGTCCTCACCACCAGGCAAGAAACACAGGGAGAGCAGGAAGGTAAGGAACCCTCAGCCCAGACCCAGCAGAGTGTGATTCTATCTTCTTTTCTATTATTCTTTCCACTTTTCTGAATCACTGGAGAGACTCCTGAGATGGGAACGAATAGAATTGTCAGGAGAGAGTAGACCACCATCCTCCCAGGACAAGCCAGACCAGGCAGGGGTTAGAGGGACACACGGATTTCTCCCCGAAGATCTCGGGCCGGAGTCCAGGTGTGGTGGAGGGGTGCAGGACCGCGTCCCAAACACACTGACCAGTGGCTGAGGACCAGAGGTTAAGAGTTGCCTCTCTAGCGGAGGTCAGGCCCCTGAGCACTGGGTCACCTGCTGCTGGGGCAAGGGTCCCAGTCTCTCCATGTTCTCTTATCTCAGTACCAAGCGGAGCCACGGAGAAGGAGCAACAGAAGGAAGAAAAACCAGACTCTGAAAGGTGAGCGTCTGCCACTCACCCCTGCGTGCCCAAGTTACACTGTGCCCCCTGCTCTGAGGGCCCAGCCCCACTGTCTCCAGGACACCAGGGCCTGAGCCCATCCCTCAGGAAACAGAGTCCTGGGGTGGGGGCCCCCTGGGAGGAAGAGGGGAACCTGAAGGCTTTCCAGATTCTGCACCAGAACAAAGCCCTGAGGGGCTGTAAATCGGTGTCACCCAGCAGGGGCCCCAGGGCCTGGACTGGGGGCGGGACCTCCTTCTCACACTGTGGACAAGCTGTTCAACTCCGCTCAGATTCCTCTCTGAGGCCACACAGTTCTTCCTCCCCCAGCAAGGTCATGAACGAGGAAACACTTTGGAAAAGACAAAGCGACCCCCATCATGAACCCTGTAATCACTGTGCGGGCACGTGGCCTTGGACAGTGCTGTTTGGGGCTCCCGAGCCCAATCCCCCAACCTAAAGAGACATTGTATCCAGTCTCCTGTAAGACCCCTGGGCCCTGCCTTCCTCTGTGACCCGGTCTCCTGTTTCCAGCTTTCAGAGATTGCCTACAGGATCTGGAAGAGGTTCAGGACCTGTTCTCCCTTCTGCAAAGGTAAAGAATCTGCCCCGTTCTCCCCTGGGTGGGCCTCCCCGAGTCTATGGTGTGACCCCTGGACTGCGGGGAACCGCCTCTGGGGCTGTTCGGGGGGGCTGGGAGGAGCCGTGGGGACAGACTGTGACCAAAGCCCCGGGCTGAGGGACAGCAGGGGCATTGTGACATGCGTGTGGGGCGTGGAGGGCCGTGGGGACCGCTCCCGGCCCCGGCTGCTGCAGCGGCAGCTCACGCCTCCTGTCCCCTGCAGCCACCCGGTGGGGCTCTCTGACCAGGCGGCTTTCACCAGTTCTTACGTCAAGCAGCCCTGGGCGGGTGCACCAAGGGGCGCCAGCTGGAGCCCGTCAGCCATGCAGGGAGCCTGTGGAAGACGCTGCTCCTGCCGTGGCCCCATCACCTGCCCGAACTCCACTGACGGGCCCCCGCAGCCTCTGGCCTCCACCCTGCCAGCGGGACCAATGACCTCCTCAATTTCTGTCGGTTCACTCTCCTCCCTGAGTACTTCCTGGCCAGCAGAGCCTTTCCTCCCCCCGGATGGCTTTTCACACCAGCCCCTTTCTCTTCCCCCTTCCCCGCCATGTCTCCCTCCTTCCGAGGCCTCCCCTGGGCCTCTGACAGCCTCCTTGGCCCCAGAGTGGCCGGACTCTCCTTTGACTCTCCCTCAGTGTGACTCAAGGGCACCCCCGCCATGCCCCATCCCACAGAGCTCTGCTCTGCACACGCCTTGGTCAGCTGACAGGACAGCTCCTGGCCCAGCCATCTCGGGCCTGGGCCACTCACGCTACCCCATTTCGGCCCTGTGCTGGTGGCAGGCGGCTGCCAATGCCTGGAACCTGTCCACCTCAACACGCTTGGAGTCCCATCAAGTGCCTCTGTCCCACGGCCCACTAGAGGCCTTGTTCTGGGGAGACCCCACACACAGACAGGGAGAGACTAGGATCTCCCCTTCCATCAACCCAGACATCCAAAAGCTTCTGGAGATACTAACCACCAAGAGAACAGAACTGAAGTTTTGGAAGGAGAAGAAAAAGAAGGAAAGGTCAAAATACCAGCTGACCTCTTTCGGGAGAATGCTCAAGTCCCCAGCTGATGGGCAGGGCACCGTGGGCTGCCCGCCCTTCTGGAGCATGAGGGGCAAAGCGAAACAGCTGCTTGGTCCTGAGAAGCCCCCACATCCCAAGATCCCAGGGGACAATTTGGAGCAGAAATGCAGCCAGCTCTTCTGGGGTCTCCACTTTCTGCACAGCGAGTCCCTGGTGGCCACTGTCAGGGTGACCGATCCCCCACTGGAGCTCCCGTCCATCATACCCAATGAGCTCTCTCATGCCTTGCTGCTCCGGATTCAGGCCAGCTTGGCTCCACGCCTATCCCTGACCCAGGACTTACAGGACCCTTTGGCCCTGCCCCAACCCTTGACCCTGAGCTTGTCCCAGTCCCTGCCCCAGCCTCTGGCTCAGCCCCTACCCCTCCCTCTGACTCAGCCACAGCCCCACCCTCTGGACCAGCCCCTGCCCCAGCCCCTCCCTCTGACTCAGCCCCAGCCCCTACCTCTGGACCAGCCCCAGCTCCCACCTCTAGCTCAGCCCCAGCCCCAGGTAAGCCTTGCACCCTCTGTCCCAGTCGTACCACCTTCTCTGCCACCCGAGATGGGGAGCTGCGAGGTGTCTTGCCCTGTAGCCCAGAAGACACTGTCTTACATGTCAACTGTCGCTCAAAACCTGGAATGTCACTTTCTGAAGAAGCAACTAGAAAGCGGCAAGGTACCCCCTGTGGTGAAAAGATCTCAGGAAGTCTTTAGCCAAGGTCCTCCCGACCTTCCGCAGGGTGGCCAGGCCCCCGAGGGCCATAGGTCAGTCTCTGTCATTTCTGGGGACTTGATCAACTCTGAGCTCCGGGAGCAACTGGAGTGGCACCTTTGGAAGAGGCTCATGAAGCAAGAAAGGGGCCCACCCCGCAGGATCCAGCTATCCCTGAAGATACAGCCTCACCAAGAGTTCCAGAAGGTGCCCCAGGCACGCAGTTGGCACAGCCCCACGTCCGAGTCTGAGTCTACGGATGGAAGCTGCCAGGCCACACAGAAGACTTGGTCCAGGTACCCAGGAAGGACCCTGCCAGGAAAAAGCCTGGGCAAGGATTCAAGGTCCAGTGCAGGGATGATCTGGAAAGATCTACACAGGGGCACAACGAGCTCTCCAGGGAAGGCTCCAAGAAGAAATTGTGAGGAGTCAGACACAGACGTGAAGCCCTGCATAAGCAGTGCAGATGAGAAGCTCCTGCAAAACCACCTGAGAGCCCATTGCAGGAAGGTGGGGAAGTCCAGAGAGGGTCAGGTTCCTTCCAGGCTCACTGCCCACCATGCCTCGGACCTTCCTGGAAAGCCAAGCGCTCACGGAAAACCTGGAAAGCCAGCACTTTCCAAGTGTTGGGAACACTGCATGACCACCTCCCACAATTTTTCCATCCTCAGTCCATACACTCAGTGGATGCTAGAAGCACATATCATAAGGCTTAGGGTGAAGCGGCAGTGGGGCCTCCCCCTCAAGGTTCTCAAGCCTGTAAACCTCTTCAAGTTGAAGAAGGGCTTCCTCCTCTCCCAGTCCTCTGATCCCCGCTCAGCCACCTGCGTATCCAAGGCCGGCTCGGGGACCAAGTTCATGGGAAATCCTCCTCATCGCTATCAAGGAGAGGTGATGAAAGAGTCTTACTCCACCTGGGGGGGTCCCCTCGGTGCTCCCCAGCCTACGTGTGAGGAAATCCAGCAGGCTCTGGAAGGAAACGCACCTGGGGGTGGCCCTCCGGCTGGCAGGGGACCAGGCCACCTTCTCGGACCTTCACATACAGCTTTGTGGGCAGAATCTGGCACAGTGAGACTGCCTCAAGGACTCTTATGAACAGCACCTTGGAGTCAAGTCCAAGTCCAGCAACAGCCACGAAGGAGCCAAGGAGGGCGAATGGGGTTTGGGCCTCACGGGACGTGACCGTGCTAGAGCTCAGCTTAGAGCCCTAGGATTCGAGTGCCGAAGAGCCCAGGGAGGTCAAGGAGGCCTCTGCCTGGGGAGTCACCTTAGAACCCCATGTGCTGGCCAACAACCAAGGCCTCCGTGGCGAGCTGAGAAGATCAGGGTCTTCAGGGAAAAGCGACAGTCCCCCTCCACCTACAAAGTTGGTCACCCGAGACCCCGAAGAGCTATGCCTTGAGGCTCTGCACAGGGGATCGGAGTCCCGGAAGTTGATGGAGACAGAGAAGTGGCCTCGGGCTGCCAGCCCCACCGTGCTCCTTCAAGACTGTGAGACCGGGGTCCTCCTTCAAGACTGTGCCACTGAGCGTCTCCTTCAAGACTGTCAGTCCAACGTGTTCCTCACTGCCGATGTCTTGGCTTCTCAGGGATGTCTGTCTGGCTTCCAGAGTGGGTCCAGCGAAGACACATCTACTTCCCAGGTGCCACGTGGCCCAAGATCCCGTGGCCAGAGCCCCCACAGGCAGCCAGGACCCCCGGGACTGCGGCACCAATGGAAGAGCCTAAGCAGGTCATGTGTCCCCCCCGAGGAGAGCAAGAGCTCCAGGAGGTCCCCTCGAAAGAGCCTGACAAAGAGTCATCCGAACTGAAGGTCCTCCCGATCAGTGAGGTGACGCGCCCCGTCCGGAGCCAGGAGTCCACAGAGGCCTCAGGAAGCAAGGCCTGTGAGATCTCGGGGAAGGAGGAGGCGGCGCCTCCGGAAAACTACTTCAGGAGAAGGATGAAGCACATGCTCCAGTGGTTCCTTCCCAGTAGAGGCAAAGGACTGGAAGATTCCCTTCAAAAGGGCAAGTCTTCATTATCCCAGGGTCGGGGACAAGCCACAGGCAGGTCTGCCATGGACAGCGCTTCTGCCGAGGCTCAGGTGGTCGTGACCGCGGTGGGGCGGATCCTAGAGGAGAAAATGGTGCCTCACCAGGGACTCAGGGCCCCGGAGTTCAGCTGGTGCCAAAAGGATCTCCAGGCTTCGGCAGACCCCAGTGTCTGCTACCACAGGGTCCTCTCCTACCAAGAGCAGAGGAGGGTGATGAGGGAGACAGCCAGCCCACAGGGCACCCCCAGGGACCGCAGCTATGCCAACAAGACCAAGTGGATCGAGTGGCCCTTCCCCGCCCAGGTGCCTGGGGGCCCAGGCAGACCCTGCCAGTGTGGGTCTCTGGTGCCGGGCCCTTCACGCCGCCCCCTGCAGCCGCACTGCCCCAGGCACTGCCTCCTTCAAAGATACATCGCACCCGGCCAGCCACTGTGTGCTCCTCACACTTTTCCTGGGAGGACAACTTTCCTCCAAGAAAAATCGCAAACGGTGCAGAGAAGAACTTTTTTTTTCTCACATTAGCACATCCTCTATGGGCTAATGGCTTCTCCGTGCCACAATTACTTTGTTTCCCCAAAATACATGTTTTTTTTTGTTTTTTTGTTTTTTTCTCGTGAGTGGTTCTGGCCTCTGTGTGTGCCCTGCTGCGGGGGGTGGGAAGGATCAGGGTCCGCTCTCCCCGAGGGCCTGCTTTGGCTTCCAGAATGAAAGGGGCCTTGGAGGACAGGTGGCCGCGGGGTCCACCCCTGCCTCCTTCCTCGTCTCCTTCGGTTTCCACAAGGTGAACAAGACCCAGACCGGGACTTCTCTCTGCCCATCCTCTCCTGCTTTCCCTCCACCTGGAGCTTGTGTGGCTGTAGGGAGGGTTTGCCGAGGCAGAAATCCCACTCGGGCTCCAGGAAGACGGAGTCCAAGGTCACAGTGGGGCCCGCAGTTGGGAGACACAATGCTGGCCCTGAGGGAGAGGTGAGAAATCCTGCCCCCTCCCATAGTCTCCTGCAGGGAGTAGAGGACAGCCACCCCAGGAACCTTCTCACCCCAGGGAATTCCATCTTAGCTCCATTAGCCCCTCTTCTCACACTAGGAGCAGCAAGGGATGAGCTCGCTCCCAGCACTGAGGGTGTGAAGGGGGTGCCAGAGAGACCCCCAGGGACCTGCCTGCCCAGCCCCAGGGCACTGAAGGGGCCTGCTCACCAGCACCTCCTTCCCCTTCTGGGGGATGGAGTGGGTGTGGCTGTGGGCGGGGGGACCCTGCCCTTAGGGTGGGAGGCCAGGAAGGAGGCCAAGTGACAGGGTGTGCCCATGTCTGGTGTGAGGACTGAAGACCTTTGGTGTCCCACTGCCACCCAAGCACCCAGAGGAGAGAAGTTAGAGGCCCTGGGGCTGTCCCTGCAGGGTCTCCACCCCACTCCAGCTGCCAAGTCCAGGACTGGGGGGTGGGGGCAGCGAGCGTGGGGTTGGGGTTGTACAGAAGCCACCTGAGCTCCCACACAGACCACCAGGTGCCCAGAGGCAGCAAGGCCTTCAGGCAGAGAAGTTAATTTCTGTACAATTTCATGAGCTTATAGGACTGGGGGCCCTGGGACAGACATGTCTGTGACCTTTACATACTCGTGTGGCCCAAAGATGGCTCCCAGGGGACTGGTGGGGACTCAGAGGCCAAGTGACTGGCCTGGCTCCTGGTTTTGGTTACCCCAGAGCCTGGAGAGCAGGAGACCCTCAGATGGGGCTTGTCCCACCCCCGGCTGGAAGGGATGTGTCCAGAAGGAGGGTGCAGTCTAGGAGGGCCCCCCACTGCGTGTCCCGCTACCCAACATCATCCTCCGGGGACCCCACACATTGCTCTGACGGAGACCCACACAGAGACCCCACACAGAGACCTCTGACAGAGACCACGTGCAGAGACCTCTGATGGAGACCCACACAGAGACTCCACAGAGACCCCTCAGCAAGACCCTACACAGAGATCTCTGCCAGAGAATCAAACCCAGAGACCCACAGAAAGCCTACCACAGACCCACACGGACAGATGTCACATCTGGGGACCCCACCCCCAGATACAAACCCTGGGAAATGCCGCACAGAGCCTCCTCCCTGAGAGGTCCCCCCCAGAGCCCCCCAGAGACCCCTGGCCCCCGCCACTCTTTAGGAGCCGGGCAGCCACGCAGCGACAGAAGCTTCACAGCGGAGCTGAAACTGCTTGGCCAACCCCAGCACAGGGGCCACTCGGTGACTGTGCCCGCCTGAGAGCCTGGAGTTCTGGGACGTTGTCAGCATCTCCCCACATGGGGCTCCCAGCTCGGAAGCACTTGGGAAGGCTTATACCTGCGTTGGGTCCCTGCCCCCCAAAGGAAGGAATCCAGCTTCCACCTGCAGACCCACAGACTCCCCTCCCTCAGCTTTCACTAGCTGGAGCTGGGACTACGGTTTAGAGAAACAAAAGCACAAGCAAAATGCCGCCAACCTCCAATGAGAGAAAACATCTTCTCTGTCCCGTTTTACTAACGTCAAAGGATGTCCATGTCCCGTTGTTCATTTCGCTGGAGATCAGATCTGAATTCAAGACGGCTGACTGCCTGCCTTGGAAACATGGTGTAGGCTCAGGGCAAGTGAGCCGGAGGGATAAAATAAGCAAAAATCTAGACTCTCACCTCCCAGGGAGGCTCAGATGTTATTGTGCGCAAAAGAGCTGTGTCAGGTTTGTGAGTTTTGTCTTATATTTAAACCAAGCAGGCTCACAGTGATGTGAAGGTTTTTACAAATGAGTCCGGTATCTAGAAATATTTCTATTTTATCCTCTGGTAAAAATAAGACTTTAAATTTTTTTCCTTAAAATGTGGTAATGCCCTCGAATGGTATTGTAATATTTCCAGATGTGACAAAGTGCTAAGGCTCAGACGAGCTTAAACTGATGTAGGACTTGGAAGGATTCACGTTCTAAATAATTCTTTCAAAATGCACAGTTTGCAAGACTCAGGCAACCAGGCTCCACTTTGTATTCATTATGGAGCTAAAAAAGGACACATTGTTTCAAATAGTTAGAAAACTTACAAAATATATCATTTAGTCCACAAGACATGCACATGATCTAATTACTAGAAGAGACATCTTCATATGTAAATGGAAGAAAGCATCCATTAATAATCAAAGTACAGGGATAAAGTGTTGATCATCAAAATCCTTCCATTATAGAATTAACACTTTCCAAAGGGAGCATTTTAATGAGAGTATATGCATATTTCTTGTTGCTCATAAGCAACTCGCTTATCTTGCCTTGTTAAAATTACTTGTTTAATGACAGCTGCCAAGCATGTGTCCCTGGTTAAGTCTCTCAGATTATCCATCAGGATGACAGAGTCTGTCTTCATCGGGAGAAGCAGAGCTAATATGAACACTCTTTGGCCTGTGTCTTTCAACAAGAAATACCCATCTATCCTCCAGAAGTTACAAATCTGTAACTATTTTTCTGCCTTACTCCCTTACGTCACTGAATCACAAAATGATGGAATGTGGTTGTGGATGTCTTATAATTCTGGATAGTAGTTTTTTTTTTTTTTTTAGTGCAACTTACACAGAACAGGTCACTGATCAAAACAAAGTGGGACCAGTTAGGAAGATTTTCATCCAGGAAATGCTTTACAAAGAGCAGTGCATCCTTTTCTAGTTGTCTCTTAATCAGATTTAATGGAGGGATCATTATTCAGTCTTTGGCCACAAAGTCTGCAAACACAGAAAAACGTCCATAATAGTTTATCCCCGTGACATGTGAATGTGTTTCCTTCACTAACAATTCATAGTTCAGTAAATTGTGTAAAATTTCAATGAACTAATGCACATTAAAGCAACAATCCAGACGGTCCCAGCACGCACACCTGTCATAGGAAGCCTCTGGTGATTTGTGGATACAATTTCTACCACATAATTTTGTACCTTCACCCTAGAAGAAACAGTTAAGGGGGTTCAATCTATTAGAAAAATACTGTAAATATTTCCACAGTTTATGGCTCCCTGTATTTTATTTTTAACAAGATTCACCTCCTGTAAATCTTAATGAACGTTTCACCATTTGTAGATACCAAACAGAAATGGAAATCAAAAACTAAGTATAACGAAGAAAATAACAAACACAGATCCCCATTTTCCTGAAAAATGAAGTGATTTTAATCCAGCAGCCTCTCTCTATTATCTCCAGGATATGTTACAAGCTTGGTTTTGAAAACAATTTATATTTAAAACAGGTCTCACACTGACTTCAATAAGTCAGATGTTTGAGGACAAAACATGAAGGGTGGCAATTAGGTGATAACTTTTTATTACTCCACAGGGTAAAGATCTTTCCCCAAAAGGCAGGAGAAAAAAAAAATGCACTCAGTCTCCAGTGTTCACCCTTAAGAGCATTTCCCTTGATCGGTCACCATATTATTCTCAGTTCCATACACTTTTTTTTTTAATAATTTTTTATTTTATCAGCATAACACTATTCATTATTTTCGTACCACACCCAGTGCTCCATGCAATCCGTGCCATCTACAATACCCACCACCTGGATCCCCCAACCTCCCACACCCCGCCCCTTCAAAACCTTCAGATTGTTTTTCAGAGTCCATAGTCTCTCATGGTTCACCTCCCCTTCCAATTTCCCTCAACTCCCTTCTCCTCTCTAACTCCCCTTGTCCTCCATGCTATTTGTTATGCTCCACAAATAAGTGAAACCATATGATAATTGACTTTCTCTGCTTGACTTATTTCACTCAGCATAATCCCTTCCAGTCCCGTCCATGTTGCTACAAAAGTTGGGTATTCATCCTTTCTGATGAACTTTTGGGACTTCATCAAGATCAAAAGCTTCTGCACAGCAAAGGAAACAGTCAAAAAAACAAAGAGGCAACCCAAGGAATGGGAGAAGATATTTGCAAATGACAGTACAGACAAAAGGTTGATATCCAGGATCTATAAAGAACTCCTCAAACTCAACACACACAAAACAATCATATCCCAAAAATGGGCAGAAGATATGAACAGACACTTCTCCAATGAAGACATACAAATGGCTATCAGACACATGAAAAAATGTTCATCATCACTAGCCATCAGGGAGATTCAAATTAAAACCACATTGAGATACCACCTTACACCTGTTAGAATGGCCAAAATTAGCAAGACAGGAAACAACGTGTGTTGGAGAGGATGTGGAGAAAGGGGAACCATCTTACACTGTTGGTGGGAATGCAAGTTGGTGCAGCCACTTTGGAGAACAGTGTGGAGATTCCTCAAGAAATTAAAAATAGAGCTTCCCTATGACCCTGCCACTGCACTACTGGGTATTTATCCCAAAGATACAGATGTAGTGAAAAGAAGGGCCATCTGTACCCCAATGTTTATAGCAGCAATGGCCACGGTCACCAAACTGTGGAAAGAACCAAGATGCCCTTCAACGGACGAATGGATAAGGAAGATGTGGTCCATATACACTATGGAGTATTATGCCTCCATCAGAAAAGTTCCATACACTTTTACTTGATCACCAGAAACTTCTGGAAGTGTCCGCAAAACACAAGTTTCCAT